AGCAAATGAGCTCGGAGGGGTGCCGAGTTTGATGAAAAGCAACCACTGCCGCGCAGTTTTTCGCACTCGCGACTTTAATGAAAAAAATTAATTTCCATTTTTGTTAAATTGAAAACTTATTAGTGTAGTCTGTGTAAAATAATGAACTTTTTTAACTCTAAAATTTATCTTAATATTAAATATTTGCAAGAAGTTGGAATTATTAGCGGATTTTTCACAAAAGAGACACTTTATGCTCACAACTTTTATACTTTTTATCTTGTTTTGTGGATTTTTTTAATGTTAATATTGTTTGATAATAAATAGTCTGTAATTTGATTGTTTAGAATTAATTTTCAGCAAAACATTGTTTATTGTAGAAAAATATAGACTTTTGACATTTCATTATTATTATTTTTTTTTTATTCAAAGACACTGTAATAAATTTTAAAATTTTAGAACTAAAAGAAGAACATATTATCCTGAACTTTATTTTTATTTACTTTAAAAAGTTAAAAAAAACTTGCCTGTGATGGTACTTTTTGAATTAAATTCGTTCCTCCAAAGTCGTCGTTTTGAAAATAAAACATTTTACCAGAATTTTATCTGATTAGTTATATACGAATAAAATATAGAGAGAGGTTGAAATCAATTTGATTTTTATAAAAATTTCCAGTTTTAAATTTAGTATTTTTTTATATGTTGAATATTTGGAACTATAGAAAGCTTTTTTAAAACCGCAAATAACAACTATATAGCAATAACTGTACTTCTTTTGAATTATTTTGTAGTTCAATTAAATATAAAATCATTTGCTGTTTGAGGTTAAAATTGTGCATTTATTTAACGTCGTCAAAATGTCCCCAAAATGTATTAATCAGTATGCTTAAAATAAGACTTATCGGAGTTATCGGTCTGGACTTACCAAATTCTTGATTGTAAACAAATCCTGGACACAAAAACTCACATTGATTTCCTTTTATTTTTTTTATATCAAAATTAAAGCTGTGACCAAACCGGAAAACAGATATAATTTTGTTTGATTGTGAGTCCAGCGTCGATAACCGTTAACTCATGATACGCGTGTGAATTAATTTATATTTACACTATTTAATTCTGTGGAAACTCCTCTTATCAGGAAAGAACTAAAATTTATATTTATCGTTCTTGGCGGCTATTTTTTCTCAATTAATCCGGAGTTGACAAAACATATCATATTATTATTTGATAAAAACTTTTTCCTCAATCCGGTTTGTTATTGGCTTACGATTTTTATAGCCGGATTTAGCGTTTTGTTATCAAAAATATGTAAATATCCTGAACACTTTGCTTCATGATAAACCCGACACAATTTATGAAATCCTATGTATTTTGGTGGGGTTATTTAATTATTTATGTTTATAAATGTTATTTATTATGAATTTCTTGAAATCAAAAGCTATATCGAATTATTCGTTTTACGCTTAAATCGTATTTCTCCGTAATTCATCTTAAAATTATTATAAAAAAACCTTTTTAAATTTTATATAAATCAACTATTTAAAAAGTATAATGATCTCTTGATTAATATTAAGACACTAATGTCAATATTAATTTAAAATAAAGCCTCAAAATTGGACTACTAATTATGAATTCTTACTTAATATTAATCAATAATCCATTATTTAATAACAGTGTCGAGGCTGCGACCTCGACTGCCAGAAATTGAGACTGCTCATGCGTTTTGTGCAAATGCATATTTGTATATATCATTTGATTTATATATGTTGAGTTTACATTGCTGCTCGGCGAGAGTTATTACACATGCTGTTCGCATTTCTGGCGGTGCCGCTGTCACATTGTGTGCACCGATTGATGAATTGGCCCCGCATTCGGACAGCAGACACAAAAGGGCAGCCGCCTTGAGCATAGACAATCCGACACCGCGCCGGACACTGTTTTTTGCAAAAATCTTTGTTTGCACGCAAGCACGCTCCGATATAATTGCTATTGGCACCTCCAATCTTGCCAATTGAAGCGTGAATCGAATGCTTAAACACCACTTCAATATCGCACTGGAGAACAATACGAGAGGTTTTTTATGCTTGAAAAATTATTCAGTCTGATTATTGATTGTGAACTACAAAAATCTAAAAAATGTTTTTCAGTTCAGAATCAAACTCTAATTTTCCAAAAATTATATTATACATAGTTCAAAAGTCTATGAAGAAATAAATTTTATAACTATCGAGATGGATCTCATATATGCGAAGTGAAATAAATAAGCTATTTAACAAAAATAATCAAATTTTACAGGAAACATAATTATATAATTATTAAGGGGAATGAATAAGCAATCATTAAAGTTTATTAGACGATCACTTGAAAACAAAATTGTTTAATTATTAAATGCCGCAATAAGTCATTTAATTTAATTAAATGCTTACTTTTTATGAATTAACTATTTTATTTACATTTAAAGTTTTTATTAATTAATTTAAATTCATTTGACTTTTCCTTTCCATAAAGTTTTATTTTGATCAAATTGTGCATAATTATGGTTCTCCCCTCCCTCTTTATATCTTTAACCTCCGGATGTTTATGGGAGCAACGTTGTCGGCAACAAGCACTAATCAATTAAATACGTCATTAATTAAGCGTTGCAAAACCGGGAAGCGATAATAATACAACAATCTCATTACCCTTGCCGCGCACAATTACATGCTTGAAAATAAAACGTTGTTTCCGACCAATCCGGATTGAAAGAAGTTTGAAATCTGCTTGTTGAGACGAATGTCTCTCTGGCGCTGGTAGCATTAAAATAATAATGGTAATAATTACTCGGCGTGCGTTATACAAACCGACGTACGCGAGAGAGGCTGTGAATGTGGCCGTTATTAGAGGCAATTATCCTGCGAGGGCTGTCAGAGCCACTTTTTACGCTCGATATATACAGAGAGAATATAAACTGCTGCCTGCCGTGCACGGCGGTGAACGGCGGCGTGATTTCCTAACAAGTGTACATATCTCTCTCATAATTAGTTATTAAATATCAGCCATTCATTACGACGAACCAAGGCATCTCGCGATCACTTTTTTCGCATCGCGGGAAAACGCCGGCAAAAAGTTACGATGGCGTGTCGCATATTCACGCAAGATATGTTATTAACACGAGACGGGTGTGTTTTGTTTGTTCGAACTGCTTTTTTGCTCTTGTGTGATAAATAATAAATAACTATCGACTTGTTATTGAATAATTTCCCACTTAAATAGGATTGCCTTGGATTATCGATTATTAAATAAATAATTGCAGTGCAAGATTAAATTTTGATAGTTAAAATTTTGTTTACCTCAACACAAACAAAATTGTTTTTGAGACGCATTTTTTAAATTCAATTTCTAGCATAGTTATATCAGTAAAGTCAACATTTATTTAAAGTTTTCTGCTTCTTTACTTTAAATTGAATAAGCTTTTGTATAACAATTTAAAATTTATTTCTTTGTTAATTTTCAATGGGCCAATTAAAATTTGTAACTTAATCTTGAGAATATGTTAAATGAGCTAAAATGACGCAGACACTATATTCATTTGCCGGACTGCTTTACTTTCACACAATGTAGGGATAATTTATCACTCACCAACGCGCGAAAAGAATAGCTTGTGTATACATGTGAATGGCCAGCTCATTTTCTGCACGAATAAATTGAGGTTCCGCCATATTAGGAACGACTGACTTGAACAATCTCGGTTTATTAACGAATCATTAAAATAATAAGGAATGTTTATTCTTAATTTTAACTATATCATTTATGCTTTGTTTAAGGTTTCCAAATTCTCAAATTATTGAAGTGATATCATGTGTAAATTCATTTTAATTTAGATTTGTGTAAAGTAGGCAATATCTCTACATAGGAGATGCACTTATTGCCTACTTTTTACAGGATTTATGAATTTAAGCGAAAATAATTAGCCATTTCAAAATATCATCTAAATTATGCCTTCATAAGAAGTAGATGGAAGAATCGAGCAGGCTGCAGGGCTGCATTTTAAAAGAAAAAACTCGTTCTCCTCTAACCAATCCTGAATTATTGCTGAGATATTTATTTTGCCTCCAGCATTTGATAATTCTCAATAATTGAAATTAATTATTGCCGATCTCGCTGCTGTTAAAGCATTCTTAGCTCTCTTATTTATTTTTGTAATCATGTCCATCAAAATTTCTCTGACGTTTTGCAAATTTCGCTAAAAATGATTGATCGGGTCGCAGATCATATGACAGCGCGGTTAAATAAATGATGGTGATGGTCGTCTTATTAATTACGACGTGTTTTGATTCGTTCATAAAAAGCCACGCTTGTGATAAAACAAACATTCATTTAATTTATCTCTCGACAATGTATATAAGCTGCTCTCTTCACAATATTTATCTTAATAGGGTTCAAGAGTCCAAAAGATTTATCTCGGATGTCAGCGAAGCGACATCAAAACGCAGTCGTCGGTTCATCTGTAAACGACAAACGAGCGCAATTACACATTTTTTATAACATCAGAAGGGCAGAAATGAGAAATGCGATTAGTTGCATCTCTCATCATTATTTATCTCTCCGCATACATTATTATTATTTTACGATGCTAATGGCTTTAAAGCGAGCTGATAAGGCAGGAGGATGTTAATTTTTTTCCTCATTCGGTTCACGAAAGTTGAAAGGCAGGGGTTCCTACTTTGGCTCGCTCTGCGGAGTGACCTTTAAATATTGCTCCTGATAACCTGCGGTCGACCCGAACACAAACCGAAGCCTTCTTTACCGCGGAGCGGCCGAAAACGCTGATCTCGGAGCAAACATCTGCTGCTCGCGATATCACGCTCGTAAATTACAATTAACCTCTCAAATGAGAGCGTGTGTCAATTAAACGCGGCCGTTAAACCGTGAAAAGCGCGCATAAAATCAGGAATTCGAGACTTGCGATCGTTCAAGATTAAATTTTTACTGTCGTGTCAAATCGGATTAATTTATAATTTTTTACTTTTTTGTGTCCGCAGGGCCTGACATCCCCGGATTCCTTCTGCAACCCTTCAGGAAGCCGAAGCGGATACGAACCGCCTTCAGCCCGAGTCAGTTGCTCAAACTGGAGCACGCGTTTGAGAAAAACCACTACGTCGTCGGCGCCGAAAGGAAACAATTGGCGCAATCTCTCAGCCTGACTGAAACACAGGTAAGACCAAAAGAAAAAAAATCTTAAAACTATAAATATTTAAAATTTAGTTAAAACATAAATTGTTAATTTATATTTTTATCACCTTTTAATAGTTTATATGGGAAATAAAATACTTTCTGATTTTATCACAAATTTTAAAAATATATTACAAAATTTGAATCTTCATTGTTATTATAAATTTCATAACAAATTAAAAAATTAGAGAGGGAGTCCGCTGGCCTGATTAATTATGAATAATCTGCATACAAAAAAAAAAATACAAAACGATGTTGAAAAGACGGCCGTTTACTTACAATTTATTACCTCTAAAATGAGAAGCAAATTCCACTGCAGATTACAATAATGAACAATAATCGAAGAATGACCTGACCACTTTATTGAAAGCTTTATTGAAAAGAAAAAAATTAATAAAATAAAAAAAGAAATAAGTAGGATTCTTTGTCTTATTTTTTTTTTTTTGTAAATAAAATAATTTTTTGAAACTTTTTGGAAATTATTAATTTTAAAAAAAAATTTAGTAATAATATACAGTAAGGAAATACATAATTCATGGAACATACGTATGAATATTTGCTTCGTCGACTTCATTTTGGAACCTTTTCCTCTCTGCATCTCTCTGGGGGCAACATATGCATCAATTATCCTAAAGGGGTGCCGGTTTGCAAAGATTCAGTCGTTCAAGTCCCCCACGGCTTTTCCCGTTTTGAAAAGCGTTAGTCATGTATGTGTGCGGCGATGTGAGGGCAAAAGTTTTATATGTAACAAAAGTGCATAAATCAGCGTGGCCGTCTGGGGACAAAAAGGACGATAATCGACTCGTTTCCGCCCGTTTAAAAGCACAACAAAAGAGGCGGCTTTATTGCCAGCAATGGGGCACAATAACACAAACCATTAACTGGCATAATGCAGAGTGAGAGATGAGCTGTTTCCTGATCTGCACGGCCCATTTTCGCCCTCGCGGCGCGTCCCCTGCGAGCAAAAGGGTTTTATGGGCGCGCTTTTTGCCCATTACCCGTCTCTTTTGGCTCGAGAGATGGCGTCGCTCTTCTTTTCTTATCCTCACGAGGCCGCGCGTGAGAAAACTTAATGTGCTGAAATTTGGCGTAATTCGTCTGCAGACTTTTGAGACTTCTTGAAGAGGAAATGGGAAAAGTTTCCAGAGAGAAAGAAAGATTTTTGACAAACAACAGGGGGAGCCCTAAAGTTGAGCTGCACACAAGAGATCGATAATTTTCTTCAACTGAAATATTTTTTATTTTAAATTACTGAAAATTTTAAACTTTTCTGTTTAAAAACTAATAATAAAAAATAAATTGTATATCAGAAAGCAATTACAAAGAGAACGCATTATCGCATTTACCAGCAGATTTCAACCGATCGTCGAAGCTCATCAATTTAGGGGATGAAATATAATATGCAGGGGCCCCCTATATGCTTTTCTGCGCCGCTCGGATGCTGCGCGCCGCTTTATTCGATGGCGAAAAAGCGACGCCGCGAGCTGCAATGATGCCGGCGTTGATGAGGGCGATTGTTGCTGCGGCGGGTGAAAAAGGGAAAGGGGTGGAGTTGATTGAAGAATAACAAAGTGCCTCCCCTAAAATAGCAGATCGCTCCGTTAGCTAATAACGTAAAAACATTTAGGGGGACCAGTAGCAGAACGAGCAGCTTGATCAAAAGTATATTATTGTTGGTTTCTGCATCATTTTGAAGAAAACTTTCCAAAACATGGAAACAGACCCAGGAAAATATTTTTAGTTTTATAATAAAAATTATTCTTCCATATTTTTATAATTTGCCAATTTTAAGCCAAATTTGAAATCTTTCTGCAATATCAAAAATTCCTTTTAGAACAAAAAATAATAATTCAGATAATCAACTTGACTCATTTTCAAATCCTCAAAACTTTTTAAATTATTATAATTACTGGTGAATTTCGGGCAGAAAATACCTGATTATAGATAAAAATAATATACTTTTGCAACTACAAAAAATTATTAATGATTTAGAAGAAATTTTGGTAAATTTAAGGATCAAAATATACTTACAATTAGCTCCTTTTCAAGGAATAAAGTGAACAAATTATATTTTAATCCTCTGAGATGAGACAAGCATAAAGCACTGAGAATTAACTTTTTTTAATTAAGGCGAAATTGCTAGCGTGCTTAAATTAGTTTCCACTTTCGTCAAATCTTGTTTGTTCAAAACTTATCACCCTTCCTTTTTGTTAATTAATTTCAAAGACCTGCAAAATAAGAATCCCCTGCTATTTTCTGAGCGCTTTTCGAAACGCTCCGAAAACATGGCCGCCGCGCTTGTGCAAATTTTGCCGAGCGCCGAGGATCAGCCGACGTAATTTGTTTCGTGCTGCAGCCTCGCTCGGCCGGGCTCAAAGGATTATTCTCTAAAATAATGTGCCTGCACGTGTCGCGCTAAGGAGGCGCGCAATGCTGGGATTTGCGCCGAAATTGTGACGTGAGCTTTGCTTGCTGTCGATACATAACACCACGAGTTTCTCACTCGGAATCGAAAAACAGGCCGTCTGCGCTGTTTTACTTCAGAGTAGATATAAATTTCGCAGGTATTTTAATTAACTCACTTGTACCAGATAAAATTAAACTTTATTGCCGATGTTAAAACGTTGTTCAATGAGCGATACATTTGCATAATGTATGGCCGCGTCGCTCTCCGCAGCTTTTTCAGAGTTCCACTCTGGCCAGGTTTTATTGTTCATTGATATGGGCGTATCCAGATTAGCAGATTTGCCTTTCGTTATAATAAGTCGCCGGCCAATCAGCTCGCTGCGCAGCGGGCACATGTGTCATGTTATTATATGAAAATGCTTCGTTTATTGTCTGCCTTGGTAATGTGCGAGAGCGGCAATTTAACAGACAGACGCCTCTCTCTTTTTCGCGCGTCTCGCGGGACATATATTTAATATTAATTCTTTCTGCTCTCCCATCTCTCTCTATATCTTTTTATACTCTTGATATTTACGATGATGATGAGAGATGCCAAATGTTCAAACCCTCTCCCGGCCGCGTGCAAAAACTGCTGGGAAAGCGGACCATTAATCACCTGCAGATAGCTTTCGACCTTTACGTGAAAAACTTTTTGATTCGAAATTAATTAGGGTATGTGCCTGAGTGCTAAATTGAATCACACGGCAATCCATGAACATTAAACAACCTCACTTTCTCTTCCGCAATGAGAGTTAACAGAAGGGGGTTCAATACAATGATTAATTTGTTATTTAAAATTAAATTATTCTATTAAATAATTTTTAAACTTCACTTTATAATAAATTGGAGAGTGAAAATTTTAAACCAATATTAATTTTAGTCATTTGTAGTTATCACAAATAATTATTAATTTGCAGATCTTCATTATTTGTAAACGGAATTTTAATTAAATTTAAAATTCTAAATCAAAATGCAAAATAATAATAATAATATTTATCATTCAATAATTTATATAACTAATGTTAATATTTGTTTAACAATTAATGTAAAATTGAAAAATAGTTTAAATATGATATCGGTTATTACATCAAAATCGGTTAATTAATGATAATGAGAAAAAATGATCCAGATTTAATTCTCACAAGCCTATCAGCTGAGCCGATTTGGGGTCTAAGATTGACATATTGCATTGGCTATACTTTTTCACTTTTTTTTTTCAAAACACATTCTTATAAATATCAGTGTGACAATTTGGATAATTAAGTAATATTTTAAAAATAGAATCACTAATATTTAAATATTTGATAAGAGTTTTGAAATATTTTTAATTCTTAAATTGGAAAAAAAAGAAATGCAATGAAAAATTGATGTTTTTCATATTACAACCCCTCTCATAAAAGCCATAGCTATCATACCATTTCAAGGGGAAGGAACAAATTTTGAAACGCTTAACTACGTTCTGCAATTTGGCGGTCGATTTGCTGACTTGATCTGATAACAAGACAAGCAAATGAAGAGCACGGACCCCCGCGAGAATGGCCCGCTACAAATCACACACGCGCTTTAACCAACCCCAATCAGGCCGGGGGTGGTGCACGCGGCGGGGGTGGAAATAGCATAATGAAGTAGTCAATTGTTCGCGCCGGCCGGAAGAAATGAATCACTTCCACTTAATGCATTACACAAGTCGATGTATTTCGTGTTCACGCTCAAAACACCCAAGGGGTTAGGAAAACAAGTCGCTACTTTTGCTGCTGCTGCCTTTGTTTCTTCGCGCTCGTATAATTGATGGTGCATCTGCCTCGCTTTTGACATCTGGGCCGAGACCGAATTAATAACAATATCGTGCACACGAAAGAGCAGGCGATCAAATAAATAAAATAGAAACGCTGCACGGAAGAAAAGGGAAGGAAAATAAAATAAGCAGAGAGAGCAGGAAACACTTACCGAAAAGGCCGGTGGCGATTGCAGCCAACCTGAAAACAGAAATCAATCAAAGCGTCAATCAAAATGCCAGCAACAAATAGATAAAGATTAAATACTTCATATTTATGCAAACATTTATTGAGAAAAAAATTATATAAATCAAATAAATTTAAAAATTTGATCAAAGTTAACGCTTTGATTTGAATTTTCCTAGGTTGATTTTTTAGCAGTCGTTTAATATTTTGTATAGAAAAAATTCCTGCTTTAAACAATAATCAACTAAAGTGAACTCCATCAAGAAAAAGTTCAATTGAAATTTTAGCACCATGATTCACGGTTGAAAATTCTTTCCAATAATATTTAAAATTGAACTTTTTAAAAACACAGAAAATTAAAGGTATATTAGTTTAAAAGTTTATCATAATTGCTTCAGATATTTTGAAACCTGCCTACTGAGGTTGATAAAGGATATTTTATTTTTTATTTTTTTTCAAACCAATTAAAAACACTTTTATTTGTTTCATAATTTTGACGTTAGTTAGTTTTTTCTCAATTAATTAAATCTAAATTAATTTTCAAGAAAGCCAAAATCTAATTGTTCTAGACTTCTCCATCACATCAATTATCTCTTCAAATTGTTGACGTTTTTACAATTGTTAAATGTTATAGCCGAGTTTTCTTCTTCTTTACAGTTATGTGCGACGAACAGTAGGGAGCGTGCGCGCCGTGTGTTTCTTTCATTTTTCCAATAAAACTTTATTGTTCTCGCCTTGAAACAATCGACAAATAAAATAATGATTCAGCGCAGTGGCAGCAGCTCCATTGTGTGTTAAAAAGAAGCGAGCTGATGAGCGCGCGGACTCAACGGCCCCCTATCCGCACACCAAGTTTACTGCCGTAATGGCATGAGCTCTCATAATGAGTGCCAAGTTGATGCATTTCCATCCATAAATGTTCAAAATTGGCCGTAAAAGTTGGCACTTGGTCGACACAATAGGCGTTGTTTTGCTCACTCGACGTCGCAAACACGGCAGAGAGAAAGAGAGAGACGATTAAAACGAGTTAGCGGAAAAAACGTGACAGATAAAAAGCAGCAGAAGAACAAATTGTATTCAAATTCACATGCAGTCCTTGACTTCCAAACGACGCAAAAGAAAAACGGAGAGAGGGACAAACAATATGGATAAGAAAGAATGAGAAAAAAAATGTGCAAATTCCACGATTTTCAATAAAATAGAAACTTTTATCCTTTCTGAAAATATTAAGCTTTTGTACCATAATCTCTATTATAACATAATTATATATTATAACAAATAACAATAATGCATCAAGAACTTGTGATTTTTAAAACTTTTTAAGCATTATTTTATGGGGAATATTAATTTAAGTTTTTATTTAATGTGTGTTGATTCTGCTGAGGTACTTAAATTATTACTCAATAAATATTTTTCTCTGCCGCCTCTGCCCATGATTCAATACTAAATTTAATTTATTTTAAAATTTCGTGGCTGATTAAAGAGAATGGGGGTATTAAAGTTATATCCAGAATTAAGGATTACTATTCTAGAATTTAAAACATTAAATTTATATTTTTGTATACTAAAATATTGCAAATTTGAGTCATGCAAAGACAATCAAAGAGGAGAAAAATTTTTAAATCTTAAGTAATGGCAGCAATGAAAAAAGATGATTTTCAATTAACAGATTTAGGATGCAAAGATAAATTTTAAATTTTATTCTTTAAATAAAGTTTCAAAATTCTCATATTAATTTTCCAAATCTAATACAAAATCTTCCTGGGAGGTTTGACGTCTGATTGATTTTCAGCAAAAAAGAACAATAGCAAGAATTAATTTGAATGCAAATCGCACACATTTGGAGACAAAGCCTCTTGACGCCTCACAGAAAATTCGACCTCCCACGAATGAATAATACGATTGAGACCAAATTCGCAGAGAGAGAGAGATGTGTGTGTACTATTGCGCATGCTAATGACTTCCTTAATTAAATCCTTGCGATCCAATTAAAATCTCGTTTGCGCTTGGCGTAATTAGCCGACCTTGTTAGCACGTCTCGCAATCGCGATAAAAACGCGCGAATGCAAATTAAGCCGAATTAATCGGCGCGGCGCATGATGGCTGCCAAATTGACTGGTCGGCGCGGCGCGTCGTTTCGGATGCGCGTCACAATCCATCATCAGGCCTCCTTATTATGTGCAGGGTGTGCCTTTTGGTGCGGGTATGATAATCGTGGTGTGTCGCGTCTTCGCACCGCATAGCAATGCAAATACCGCGCGCAGGATGTGTGTGAGAGCAGCTTTTCCTCTCTGCTCTCTCGGTGGGAAATGCACTTTGATCATTGTTTATTTATGACCGATCGCTGATGCTGTTCCCACAATTGCAGTGCCAATGCAGGCCACGTTTGGTGTCGGCATCCCTGATTACAAATGGCGAGAGAGATGCAGGACATTTTTGGAATTTTTCTAGCTCTGCCAACATAAATTATAAGCGTGGAATCTAACTGTGTGTTGGAAAATATTAAAATCTCACAATTTAGTCGACAAGAGGATAATTTGTTTCAAGTTAAAAGAAATTTATTGTTGTTCTATACCTGATCAATAAAGACGCATTTATTAAGTTCTTTTGTATAAAATGTATCTCAAATGAAGAGCTAATTGAATTTTGTATTTTACCTATGAAATAATAGCAATATAAAACATAAAGAGTCCAACAAATTTTCCATGAAATTCCCATATTTCTAATTCAAGTTTTTACATTGACATACCTATAAGGCTAAGTCATTGCCAAAATTTAATCTTTATTGGAAAATTTTTGGCATTTATAAAATCAGAGTGATTATGGCATTAGTTGCTGGGAGACTGGGATGAATAATGAGGATTGAAAATGTTATCAAAATAGGCAAAATAAAGCAATTTAAAATTAAATATAATATAGAAAAGAATATTTAAAAAAAAACATTTTTAAAATTTTTATAATTAATATTGGCGTTAAATTTACTTTAAATTACTATTATTTAACAAATCTTAATGAAGTGTTTGATAAACAATTTCACTAATTTATTGAGTAAAAGTAAAATTACTAGCTCAGCATACATCTGTGTAACTGCAAAATTTTGAAAGTTAATAATTAGCATTGATAAAGTTCCTCGTGCTAAGAAATTGCATACTTTGCACATATCTTATTAGCTTCCAATATCGTTCAAATAGTTATTTCATTGCAATTAAATAAAATCTCTAACTTCAATGTTGAATTTGTGTTTAAAAAATGTTTTTTTTTCTTTAAATAAATAAAAATATATATGATCATGCATCGATTACGCACACTTGCTATTATAATTATTTTTGAAGTATAAGTCTCGACAGTGTCAAACTTTAATAATCAAATCAAATTTCAATTAAATAATTACTATAGCCATACACACTTGTCGATAGCAATTAAAAGTTTTCTAGTAAATATTGAATGCTCCAACTTTAAATTAGCGAAAATTTTTATTAGAATTTTCATTGCTGAAGATGAAATTATATAGTTTCAAAATTTATAATAATAATTCTCGTTAAAAAATTGACTGTAATTTTTGTTTTCAAAAACAAATCATTTTATTTACCGTTTTCGTTCCAAATTCAATCAAAATTCGTCGCTTGTTCCACATCAACATAAAAGCAATCCTTTGTCCGTTTCACAAAAGAAGAATCCAATCGAAGTCGTAAAACGACAAATTCGAGCCACTCTTCCAGTTATTGGTATGTCAGATGAAGCAGTAAAATTAATCGATTCAGCCGCAGCCCCGGCACAAAGGGCCGTAAAAGACAAGCGATTGCCCTGCGCATGTTAACAATGAGAATACATCTGTTGTAAGAGCAGAAGAGTCTCTCGGCTTCCACGTCGCGTATATGTATTTTTATTATTTTATCTCGCACTTGGGAGCCGAGGCGAAACAAGGTGCGCTCAAATAAGATGCTGCTCAAATTGTCATTCCACCTGTGACTTCCTCTTCGCTAATCCCTTCTCATTGTTTGCATACACCACGGGCTGGAAATTTATTTTTAAACCCGCGCCTCTCCCTCTCTTTCTCTTTATTATACAATTTGCATTCGGCCATAAATTACTTACGCGACCATAAAATCGGCTTGTCAGGGCCCTTCGTTTAACAACAATAATATGATACCTGGAAACTATAAAATAATCTATTAACAGGGGGAGCTGATGGGAATTATTAATTTCAAAAGTCTCGCTTCATATTTACACTTGCGGAGAGAAGAAGAAGTGCGATATTATTTTATTAGTTTCCGTTGAAAATCACTCACGATAAAAAATGTTGAAGCAAAAAATATTAATTTATTTTGTGAGTCATCGTTTGTTTAAATGGATCCTTTCCGAACGTGATTAAAAGCATGAATTATTAGCACCTTTCAAATGGGGAGGAGGAGGAAAATAATAAGGTGTATAAGCAGGCCGTTTGTTTAATGTTATGTTGACAGGTCCCAATAGGTAATTATCATAAGCCATTAACTCCTTCGAGGCCTTGATTCTTTTATATATTGGCGCTGCTCGCTCGCCCATGTATCGATTATAACTCAACTCGCAAACGTAGGTGTTGCAAATGAGTTGGTTTAGCCTCTGCCCACGATGAATTAGCCTCAATTAGCCAAGAATCAATTTAAATTAAACTCCAATCTCCTGTAATAATTAATAAATATAAAGTTACAAAATTAATTAAAAAAAAAATATATAGTAAATTTTTAACTAAATTTTTAATTTTTGTGTTTCAGGTTAAGGTGTGGTTCCAAAATCGGCGGACGAAACACAAGCGGATGCAACAAGAAGAAGAGGCCAAGGCCCAAGCGGCCGCCTCGGGCAACAAGACGTCCCACCACGTGACCAAGTGGAAACAAGAGACGCAGCAAGAGATGTCCCGGTCAAGCAGTCGGTGCAGCAACAGCAGCACCGGAAGTCGGCACTTGGTCGACATCGAGCGGGACGACGACTCTTGTGACTCAATCTGCTCGGACATTTAATTCAAAAATAAAAAACTATGCAATGGACCAAAGTAAAAAGTGAACCGAGAAAAATTCAAAGTGGCCAAGTGTGCGAATTCTTAATCTATGTTGTTGAAAATTAAAAAAAAGGACGATTTTCATCTCGCCTCGTGTGTGTTGCCATATTTATTATATATACAAAAATCATGAACTCGAATAATAAAATTATTTAGTGCCATGTGTACAATACGCGACGATTCTCCTTGGAAAATTTTTATTATATTAAATATATGAAAATAATAATTTCAGAACTTTTAGACAGGTGTGTAAAATGATTTGAGGAGAATCGATCTTTTGACGTCTGTTGTGTATGCAAAGATTAGCAAATCATGATAATATAATTATATATATTACAATTACAAACATGACTGTACCATACAATTGTGTATATGTGTGCTAAATTTAGCAGAATAAACGAAAAACGCTCGTCTGTGGAAATATATACAGACGAAAAATCAATTCTGGCGTGTCTCATTTGATTTCGAAACGGTTTTCCTTTATACAGCCGGCGGACAAGAGAACAAAAAGGCTTGAATAAATAATATGTCCGTCCGATTCAATAATAATTACATGGGCTTGCCCGGATTTCTTTTTCTCGAGAGAGACGAGAATGCCTCTCCCATCGGCCGATCGCTCCAATAAGTGCGCAGCCTCTTTCACCTTCACGATCATATAAGCCCTAATAACTATTAATATATTCTAATCAGCCTGCCAACAGGTATAATTACCCTCCGGCTATGTAATATGAAAAACAATCATTATTTATCCCGCCGAGTTTCCATCCAACTCGATAATATGAATGAAGGATTAAAATTATTTTTCATGCAAAAAGTCCGCTCAAATTTATGTGAAAATTTCATTCATTTTTTTTATTTTATTTAATCCCATCCGATGCTAATTGGAAATCAGGCCGCGCTTTTCCAGCTCACGGTGGCGATAAACACACACAATATAATCTCGTCCCAACTCCCATTACGTGTAACAGAGTGGAATTATGGCTTAATTTGCATATTTATGGCAAAGCGTATTTCTCAAATAATAAATCCGCCTTGGGCTTTCATCGGCCAGCTCGTTCCGTTTATAATCGAGAGAGGCAAAAAGATTATTATCCTGTTGTGTGTGTGTGCTGTCGATTAATAAACTTGTTTTTGTACAAATAAGGCAGCGAAATCGCCCGTTTGCCCTCTCGTTTAACACGCGGCGGAGTTTGCGTTCGATCTCCGACGAGACCTGTCTTCGTGTTAAATCATTAATGGATCGCGTTTTTCTGCTGCCGCTGTAATCAAAATATTTCTTTTGGCACCAAACACATGCTCACGCCATCAAATTAGGACCTCAAATTAGAGGTTGGCGCGGCTCCCATACATAGTTTATTAATCGGCGCGAGAGAGAGGAAAACTCCCAAAAATAGAAATTAAAAGGTGATTTACATAATTTGGCAGTTTTTATGCTTCTATGCCCTCACGATTTCAACCGGGCACTCCCACAGCCAGGTTTAAAAGGAGGTGTTTGTTTTATTTTTGCATAATATGCTCGCCTCCTAAAGTTAGTTTCTTAAATATTCCCTCCAATAATTAAAAAGTTTTGGGATAAAAAAAAAATAAATTCAAGTTCTATATATTTATAATGAAAGATATATGACCAGTAATTCAATTCATAACATAACATTTTATATACATATAATTTTTTTATGGTATTTCAAATTGAAAAGTTAAATGATATAAATATTACGATGTTGATGCATGTAAAAATCAGAATCCTTTTATTTAATTTGCTTGTAAAACTGTACATCACGTTAATTAATATTTTACAAACTCTTTATAAAATTCAAAATATTCAAACTTATTGTTGTTATTATAAATTATTCGACACAAGTCCAGTCCTGGGGGAAAAAAAATTATGCAATAAAAACATATTGAAATTATTTAAATTAAATTATAATTATATTTTTATTCAGAAATTTAAGATAATATAAAATATGTAATAAAAATAGTTAAGGTTTAATTATTAAAACATGAATGAATTATTTAGAAGTAAAATTTTCTCATAAAAAAATTATTATTAATCAACAAAATTAAACAGTTTATATCTCTTTTAATTATCAGTAATCAACTTACAATCCGTTGCAAAATGATGATAAAGCGTTACAATTTATTAAATTTTTAACTATTGATAATTTTTAGGATTTCTAGATGATTTTTTAAGCTTGTGAATCATCAACTATTATATTTAAGAAGCCGCCAAACGTTTGAGATTTCAGCTTAAATAATATTCCCCTGCTTGAAGCAATGGCCGGTATTTCACTCAGTCTCAAACTCACTTAATGCGAAAATGATTTACTTCCCCATTATGGCGCGGCGGTAATAATACTCGAAACCGCACCGCGCATAATCGATGAATAAATACATATTTCATGCCTCTGTGAGAGAAAATGTAGAAAATATATGTATGTGAACGAGGCACCGATAATTACGAAAACAAGAGAGATGCCTATCTCTCGGTGAGGCTAATCAAAGCCAAATTAGAGGCCCATTTTGATTTAATTTGATTACATTATATTCGCGTTTAAAATTCCTTTCCGCTGCGAGGGATAATCTTTAAATTACCCGCCGAGGCAATAATAAATTTTCAACGGGCAAATAAATTGAGTATAATTATAGGGATTATCATGTTTTTTATTCAAACACAAATTTCCATGCGCGCTCGACCGGCTCGCTCCTCTCTCAGCTGAATGAAGAGCCTAAGTATTGTTGATGGGGGCCATTATAGGCAGCTAAACTCGTTGAAATTACATCATTCCACGAGTCAATGATGGCCATTATGCTCGGACCGACCGACCGACCGATCATCCACCTAATATATAAAAACCAAAGTATAATTTTTTTTAAACCCGTGGTGAAAAAACTGGCGAGAGCACACACAAATAAAAGAGGCCATATAATATTTGGAATTGACCTGCAGCTACAACTCTTTTTAACAAGCGGCCACATTTTAACTATTACCAGCATCTCGTCTTTAGACAGAGGTTATTATCCACTCTGCTCTCTTATTCCAGGGCGAAATACACACACGCGGACGGTCCCTTTTATATACACGCCACGGAATTCTTTCCGTCTATCTCTCCTTTTTGATTTTATCTCAACTCACCGATTTCAAAATCGTAAAATCGAATCACCCTTGTTAAACAGCGCCTCATAAAAAACACGGACAGCTCAGGACTTCAGCTTTAATAAATTTTATATATGTGAATGAATAGGAGCAATTTGAATCATGAGAAAAGGGACTATGAGGTTAATTTAATTTTCTTGGTGCTGATTGGAGAACTAGAACTATATACGTGGACATAATTTAGAATATATAAAATTATTATTGTTGCTGTTTGTTCGTCCAAATTGTTGAAAAAATTCACAATTTAAGGAAAACAATTGATGGGAAGGAAAAAATTTAATTGTAATTAAGTCTTTGTAAGAATATATAAGTATCCTGGGTTTCAAATTAATCTTATGAAGCTCTTAAGCCGGCGGGTATCCAAATAACCAATAATTTTTATTTTCTACTTAAACATATTATCAGCACAGTGCTAATGATTTGAGCCGGAAATATACATTTAATCTTGGGAAAACCCGATTTTGTGACTTATCTTTTATTTACTAATATTCCTAAACTTGTAATCATTTATTTCCTTTATTTTTTTAATGAACAGGATTTTTGATAGAAGCAAATCCTGATTTCTGATAAGTCCTGTTTGCGGTAAAAATTATTAAGTGTATGTGTTATTTTATTCGTCATGATAAATCTGACCGCAGCATGAATAATCATGTGTTTATTTAAATGGAACAATAAAAGATTGAAAAGCAGAGGGATGTGTGAAGTTAATTTACATCTTTATTTGTACATGAAGTAATTTCTATTTATATGTTTCATAGCAAATAAAACTTTTTTGTGTTTATAAAGTGAAGTGACAAAAATAGTAAATCTAGCTGAGAAAATATTTTTTTAAAGCCATTACTTAAAATTAAATTCCCAAAGTATCTCTTGAAGAAAAGAAATTAAATATTATGTCATGTTGCAAAAGGTCGATAATGATCTTTTAATTAACTTATCTTCAATCTGCATGAAATTTTGGTTTATCTAAAAATAGTACTCGGGTGAAAAAAAAATTGTATGAAATAACAAAGTATGAACAGATTTAATTTTTCTAGATTTCAGACATAAAATATTTATTTTGAAAAACAAGTTTAAATTATTTAAATATTTTTTTTCCTCATTTGCCGTTTCATTCAATATTTCCTGCGGCTTGCACACATTAAAGTTTTTCCCCGTGTCTTTCCCTTTTCATTCATGTGCACGCCGAAAGAAAAAATTTCCTCCGTCCGTCTAAATTTCCTGGATTCCACACCCAATAAGAGCAAATTACCTCGGCGTGCAGCTCACAAAATGCTCCGCTGCTCTCGGCGCGAGAGTTGCTTTGGCCTGGAGAGGGAGATAATAATTTATCAGGCCCCGCAGACCTGTTGGCCCGTCTCCCTTACGTTTTTAAACACTTAATGATAGGTTTTGGGCCGACATTAAAAATAGATTTAGATTATTGCCGCGCGGCGATGCAGCGAAACGCCGCCGTGAAGAAGAAAGAAAGATCTTCGCCGGCCAAAAGGCAAAGAGATTTCGCCCTTTCATGACTATAAAGTTATTACCGAAATATCGTATCAATAAATATTATATATGAAAAAAAAACGCTCATCAAAGCAAACAGCTCCTCAAAGAAAGGAGGCGGGCACCGCTGCTTTATGTACTCTTTTGTAACACACCAGGTACACGTGATAAGTGATCTTTTCTCTCTGTGAAATTTATATTATTACGCTGTACATCGTGTGTGTATTGGCAGGCACGATTTTTTCCGCAGGATGGGTGCGAAATTTCGGGGTAATTTAACGAGCAATTTATGCGCTTTCGGAAACACCCATCTCATCACTTTAGACCCTATTTATCTGAACGTGCATGCAAATCGAGAGCTCGGCATTTTTATTACATATAATACGAACGGCGTAATTTCATTTTATATATTCTGACTGATGGGCTATTATAATTTCCTGTGTGTGTGAGAGAGTGTGGTTTATTGATGATCAGCGAGTAAATTGTGTTTGGATTGCCCAAACGAAGTGAGAGAGGAGATATATACGAACGGCAGAGACAGGTTTTGGAATACATATTTCTCAGGGAGCGGGAACCGATAAATGGGATCTCCAACAAAACAATTTTTATTTTTACGCTTTAAATTTTCTAGAGATCTAAATAAATAAATTATTATAATTTAATTGGCTTTTAATTTTTGCACAAAATTTAATTAAATTTTCTTTTTGGAAAACTTTCTGTGCTTCAGACAAAATTAAGGGTTACAAATTTTAAAATATACGTGTTGTCGCACAACTACAGTGTTTTTAT